GGGGGGGTGCATGGGTCTCATATTTATGGGCAAAGATTACCGGACCTCCCTGCGCCACGCTCTCGCTCATGCACTCACATAAAGAACGGCCCGGACAGCGCGATGAACGCCCTGGTCGTGCAGACAACAGACAACAGCACTGTCGGCCGCGGTCTCCGCGGTTTGCCCGGTTTACCCCGCATGACCACGAGAGTATTGGATTTCTCGGGCACCCACTTTTGGACGCGAGTGTCCCCCTTCCTCCCCCTATCCCCGGCACCTCCTCCAGTCCGGGGGGTGAGCATTACCGGAGCACAAAAGAAGGAGACCGAGCAAGAAAGGCAATACGTCACAAGGAGGGTTCCTAAGGGTTCAGGGTGCCTTTCCTTTTGTCAGAGGACACCTGTTATTATTGTTGTTGTTGTTGGAGGGTTTGCTATTCAGCATTCCGTCCCCGCCGGGCCCCCTCCCCCCTTTGCGGGTCAAGATGTCATTATTACCTTATATAAACTGCAGGGCGACCTGGGCAGGTGCCATTAGGGTCGCCCGGGAGGCACGCCGTGCCGCGCCCACCCGCCGTAGTCCGTTTCCGCCAGCCCGCCTCCAAATACGCAGAATGAGACTGGGATTTCTCGCTGCTTTGTAAAGCCTTCGGGCGAATCAGGGCCGAGTAGAGTGTAGTAAGCCCCAGCAGAGGCACACCGCACCAGGGCCGCTCCCGTAAGGCGATACATGCTGACCTGCCCGGGCCACTCCACGCAAACCTGCTGCAAAATCGGAAATACGAGATGAGCGTCCACCAAACAAGTCTCGCGCCTCGTCCGAAAAACAAAATAAAAAGAAATGTGAGCATGTTGAAGACAGACGGGCTCGTCCCACAAAACGTATTTATCTTCCAGATGGATTGGCGCAGAAAAGTGGGTACGGCGTTCCATCGGGGACGGGAGCTGTACATGAGGGTCCTCTGTCTCCACTGGTCTCCACTCTTTGTCTCGTCTCCTCTCTCCCGCAACATGCGCCCGGATTCACGGGTGTTGTCTTTCGGGGTCATTCGGAACGTCGCTGAGATTCGAGAAGCGGCCGGCGGGTGCAGCACCGCAGCAGCAGGGGGCGGCGGGGGCCACGGCTGGCCGAGCACGGGGTCCCCGCCGGGGCTCCGGGACAGTCGAGCGAGTAAAAGGATGGCGCAGCTCTCCTCGCCGTGCTCCGCGCCCCGCACGCCTCGCGCACCGCCTTGGGGATGGGCAGGACCCGGCAGGACGGGTATCGTTTACCTCGAGACACGTATGGCCTCTCCTCCGTGGTGTCCTGACTAGCCGGCGGAGGAAGCCTGGCGTCCGGAACCGAAGAGACGAAGGTGTGGGCCACGGTCAGGGTGGCGAGGCGAGGCAAGGCGACCGCACCCGGGGGTCCGGGCTGGCGCCGGAGGCCCGTCTCGTCCCGTTGTTGTCTGCAGAGGCCGGGGGACGGCGCCTGCCCACTGGGGAGGAGGAGGGGAGTGGGGGGGGGGGTTGCAGCAGCCCCCCGGGGCGGGCGCCGCTCGCGGGGAGTCGTCCCGGCGCACCGCGCCGTCCAGCGACCGGGGACAAAGTAAAGAGGACGGGACGGCAGAAGTCCGGGTGGGCGCGGCTGCATATGGCGCGGCCAAAACGAACTGCAGTGGGGGTAATACCGGGGTAGTTATGCAACCCGCGCTGCTCGTCCTGGCGCCCGCGCGCCCCTCCGGGAGGCTGTCAGCGAAGTGCACAGTGCCCCGCCCCCACCTGCTCCGGTCAGTCGCAGACCGTCTGAGGCGCGTCAGGCGCCAACTCGGCGCCTCGCGGGGCGCGCGGCGGGGGGCAAAAGTCGGCTCGCGGCGCTGGGCGACGAAGCGTGCAGTTTGCAGGCTCTAGGGCAGTGGGTACTCCCCGCCTCGCTTCGTCGCCGCGCCGCTGATCGCGGCCAGCCAGCTCGTGGAGCAGCTGTGGAAAAGGGTACCCGCGTGGTTCCTGAGTTTGTAAGAGATCCGGAAGGGGGGGGGGCGTTCACACCCACGGGGCCTTCGCCTTCGGCACTGTACAGAGCAGCCTATCCCACCTGCCGCACGATTCCACATTATTTCTGTTGCTTCGTCAGCGAGAGCCACAAATTGGGCGATGGCACCTCACATCCCTCACCCCCCCCCCCTCGCGCGTGTTGCCAAGCGCTCGCCGGCCGGCCGGCCAGAGAGCCAAACGCCTGCCCGGCATATGGCGACGGGCCTATCAGTTGTAGCAAATCTTTGTCAAAAGTGCAGGTACGGCAGCGCGATAGAACTAGTTGGCAGACACTCGCCATGTGGTCTGTGGTTCGACAACTCTAGCAGGCCTATGGGTCGGTTTTCAATCCCTCAGTAAACTCTTTCAGCTTCACAAAGGTGAATGTTTGTCTTATTTTGCTAAGTATCAAAGTAACAGCTGAAGCGTTTTATCTATCACAGCCAACTTTCTACAGAATTTCACAATCGATGAATTAATGATAACGGAGTCACCCGCGCTTCTGCCCCATTCGGCAACATGGCGTTCCCCCCATGCAGCGCCCCCCTTCCCCTTCCCCCCGTCGCACCGCTGGTCCTGCCGGTGCCAGCCCGGCTCGGCTGGGGCCCATAGCAACGGCAGCGGGGCATCATCGTCCTCCTCCACCTCACTCTCCTCTTCCTGCACCTCCTCCTCCTCCTCCACCTCCTCCTCCTCCTCCTCAGAGGTTAAAAAACAAAGGAGAAACGGACGCCATTATTAGGCTCCGCGCTAAACGCGAAGACTCAAGCTGGGGGGCAAGTGGTGAGGTGGGCACGTAGTGGTGGAGAACTTGACTTGGCGTCACTGATTGTGAGCGGCTCAATTTTTGGCTGAAGCTCAAACCTCAGATTTCTGAACCAATCACCGCCCTTTCACATCTCTGAAAAGAATATGAACACAATTCTAGGCATTTCCATTATTTCTCTCATGGCATTTCTATCAATTACAGTAAAATTATGATGGAATGTGTTTTTCTTCTAGTTGAATATTTATTGTAAACTGTCCATGGCTCACGAAACACGTGAAGTCTCTCTCAGACCACATTGAAAAATGGTGGGGGGCTTTTACGAATTTTTCACTCGACTTGCCGGATTATAATGAACGCGCAGGGGGCCCAGGCAGGCAGGGCCCCGTAATTCGTGATTGCAGGTGCGCGCCGCCGGGAGGCCCTTGGGTGGAGAGTGGGGGGGGGGGCATTACCCTCCCCTCCCCTCCTTGCATCCACAGAAATAATGTACGACCCGACTGGTTCGACGTTGCAATTGCAATGGCCTGCAGCGGGGCGCATGGGTGTGGGGATCACTGCAAACACACACACACACACACATGCGCGCGCGCGCACACACACACACACACACAGAGAGAGGACGGGACGTGCGCGCCCCTCTGAGCCATCGATATAGTTGTATGACACTCCAAATGCGGACTGTACGAGGGGCGGACCCGGAGGGCTCTAGCGCGTCGCTCTGGTCCATATCGCTGGTCCAGGGAGACCGCGCCGGGCACCGCGTGACCACACTGTGTGCACAGCGGCGCATCTGCGCACACCGCTTGTGCGTAATGAAATTATCTCCGGTCATGCGGCGCGCACAGCAGCAGCATCGAGGGTCCAAACGCGCGCG